GTTCAGTGCCACTTTCCCTGAAGAAATTCAGAGGTATAAATTAGCAAGTGATTTTTAAATTTAATGAACACAATGAAGATGATTCCTGAACATTTAGACTGCTACTTCATGAGAACCTTGTATGAAAAATCAGTAAAAGAAAGAGAGAGAGATTGGCCTGAGTGTATAGTATTCCCCCTTCCCGCCCCCAAAGGCTGTTCTTTGTGTGAAGAACCATAGTTTTGTTCCTTAATACATTTATAATGGGAGTTGTACTTAATCCCCTCCACCCTCCTCTTTCGGGGCGGGGCAAGCTGTGCTGGTGATGACTCACCTATTCTCCCATTGGCCACTGAGGAAGCTGCCTTGCTGTCCTATTGGCCCGGCCTCCTGGCCTCTCCATTCTTACACCCCCACTTTTGACACGTTTACCTTGGGAGTTGTAGTTCTCAGCTGGCCTTACTCCGACCATATCAAAGGGAATTAGAACTACAGCTCCCAAGTTGGGAGTCCCAAGAGGCCATGGGGCATTAGCAGGTAGTCAATTAAACGGTTAATCAGTTAAACAGGTTAAAGTGTTAAAACAGGAAGTAGCTTGGGAATTGAAAGGGGTTGGGGGGAAGGGAAGGCCTGCACATCTCTCTGAATTACAATTGATCTCCAGACTACAAAGATAAATCCCCATAGAGAAAATGGTTGCTATGGAGCGTGAGCTCTATGACATTATACCTCACTGAAGTCCTTCAGCAAACCTGGCCCTTTCCTAATTATTGCCAACCTCTAGGCGGCACCTGGAGATCTCCAAGATCAGTTTTCCTGGAGAAAATGGCTGTTTTGGGCCGTAGCCTCTATGGCATTATATCCTGCTGAGGTCCCTCCCCACCTCAAACCCTGCCCAGGCTCTACCCCTCAAATGTACAGGTGTTTCTCAACCCAGAGTTGGGAACACTGTAACTGGCTACAGAACCACTTTCCAGACCCTTGAAACCCAGAAAACATGGCATGTGGCTCTTAAGTTTGGTGTAGTGGTTAGGATTGTGGACTGTAACCTGGGAGAACCGGGTTTGATTCCCCACTCTTCCACATGACTGCTGGTGTGATCTTGGGTCAGTCATAAGTTCTTTCAGAGTTGTTCTCAAGGGCAGTTCTCAAGAGAGCTCTCTCAGCCCCACCTACCTCACAGGAAGTCTGTTGTGGGGAGGGGAAGGGAAAGGGATTGTAGTGAAGGGTGGTGGTATAAACCCAATCTCCTCTTCTTCCTCCCATACTTGGGGCAGCAAAATGACTTGAGACAGCCTTTCTTATAACTAAGCAGAAGGAACTGAGCACAGCTTGCCTCCTATTTTTCCCTTCCCTCCACTGCCTCACCAGCCACAGCTGGCACATTCACCTGGAGCCCTTTTCTAGAGTCCATTGTATTTCTTCCCACAACGGGCCTTACTCCTAGTCTCACAGAATGGAGCATTCTCACCTCTCCCCCTGCATCTCTCTGTGCCTCCTGAAATGATGTCAGCAGGGTTCAGCCTCTCCAGCAGCAGTGCTGAGTATGGTGTGTGGGTCTGTAGTATGTGGAGACGATGATAAGAATTGCCCACCTTTTTGAGAGGTCCATCAGTGGCTATTAGCCACAAGGTATAGATAGGAACTCTTAGTCTGGGGTAAGTGATGCACTGTATTCTTGGTGCTGGGGGGAGGGGAAACAGTGGGAGGGCTTCTAGTGTCCTGGCCCCACTGATGGACCTCCTGATGGCACCTGGTATTTTAGCCACTGTGTAACAGAGTGTTGGGCTGGATGGGCTGTTGGCCTGATCCAACATTGGCTTCCCTTGTGTTCTTAGAGAAGTGCCTTGCAGCAGCCATAAGAAATGACAGGATTAGGTCCAGAATGGTTTGGAAGTTCTATTTTGAGATACAGAATTCTCATCTTGGAGTTGTGTAATTTACTTGTTTTAAAACACATGATATAATGCTGTAACTTTACACATCTTTTGATTGTGAATACCCAATTTTGTGTTTATGTACCAGTGAAGTAGGAGGTCTCATTTTGGCTGATGTTTAATCTTTTAAAATGTATTTTTGTGCTATGAACCCACGAGCAACTTGTGAATCTCTCCCCCCCCCCCATTACTAATAGGAAGTAACTTAACTTTATTTGGTCTTTTTAAAGGCTGGCTGGAGAATTTTTGAAGATGGACTATCTTTTTGTTGTTGTTGGACAAGTGGGAGGAGCCTGCAGTGATGTTCAGCAGACTATAGTTCATGTTAGTCAGTATGACAAGAGAGACAAACTTGTTGACATTCTCAACAGCATAGGTAATCGACTGCTTGTAACCTTGAATACCTCTATCTTCCAAAAATAATTACCTGTAAAACTTGCTAAGAAACTCTCAAGTTGTCCATTCAAAAACTAAGGAATTTGGAGTTGGTGAATAAAGTGGGAATAATGAGAACCGGATGATTAAGCATAATATTGTGTAGGGTGGATGCTCGTTACTATTGACCAGTGGATAACTATTGAATGAAGCCTAAAACATTGTTCTGTGTTCTTGAATGTTTTAGAAATAATACCTGCTTTGTTCGAACAAGGTTTGATCTTTGCTTATAGTAAATGATACTATTTATTCTAAGCATTTTGGGGGTCTGAAAGTATCACACTACTTCAGGTGCTTACTACATGTGTGGAATATGAAAGCGCCCATGTAAAGTTAGAGCAGGGGTCTCCAATTAGTAATACTACTGACATTTAGAAGCTACTCACTTTGTTATAAATTACTTGCTGTGTTATGAAATGACTATTAATCTCTTTGTGTTCACAGGTGATAAACGGACAATGGTGTTTGTGGAAACTAAGAAAAAGGCAGATTTCTTTGCAACCCTTCTTTGTCAAGAAAACATAAAAACAACAAGTATTCATGGGTGAGCCATCTATCTTGTACTACTATGCAGTAAATAATAAAATTCCTATAGTGGGTTCTTCAGACTAAAGTTGGTAGGATTCTGTGCAGCATCAAGAGACACCTTTTTCTGCCTTCCCCCTAGCAGCCATCTGTAGTGCTTTAAAAGGCATTGACAAGGAATGGGGGACCTCCATGATGAAAAGCCACACAACGGGAAAGTGGGCAAAAATTGCCCCCTCTACCTTTTCCATCCAGGAGCTTCAGTCACCAGTGGCAGACAGGCAGGGGGGTGGTTTTGCTTTTGTTTTATTGCATGGTTTTCCATTCATACAGATCTCCCAGCTATAGGCATTACCTTTTAGAAACTCACAGATGGCTGCCTCAGTTAGTGCCTTATGCTGGCACGACTCTGAATCCAGCACAGTGAATTTTTGTCTCTTATGTAATTAAAAACAGGACCCTGATTGATGAAATAATTGGAAACACACTGCTCATAACTCCATAAACTTCTGTTCTTTTTCAAAATAAAAATTCAGCCTTGCCTTAGGGGGAGAGTGCTCCAGTTCATGATCAACTTGGTTGACCTTGTCTCTTATTCCAGCTGTTTCCTTTTTCTTGAGATTGCATAATCAAAAGTGTACACGTCTGTGTGTGTAACTTTGGCATTTGTATATAACTTTTTAAAGTGCAAAACCATTTACATAAGAAATCACCATTTAAAATCACATTGATATAAATCACTGGTTAAAAAAATGCCCTAGGACAAGGAATTCTTAAACTAGGGTCAGGAAACACCTGGGGGTTTATGAGAGTACACCAGACAGTCTTTGAATTTTTTATAAGAATACAGGCAAGCCCCTCTCATTTCTAGAAAACTAAAAAGTCTGTTTCCATGTTTTGTAGAATCCAAAGATGCTGAATGTCTTGGGAAGGGGGCTCAGTTGGCTTTTCCCTCTTTGAAGGGTGGGTAGAATCATAGAGTTGGAAGAGGCCGTCCAACCTCCTGCTCAATGCAGGATCAGCCTAAAGCATCCCTGACAAGTGTTCATACAGCTGTTGCTTGAAGACTGCCAGTGAGGTCGAGCTCACTACCTCCTTAGGCAGCCAATCCCACTGCTGACCTGCTCTTACTGTAAAAATGTTTTTCCTAATAAACAGCTGATACCTTCTGCCCATAATTTGAACCCATTATTGCGAGTCCTAACCTCTGCTGCCTTTTCCAGACTGAACACGCCCTTGTCTAAATTACAGCCTTTCAAGTACTTAAAGAGAGTAATCATGTCTCCCCTCAGCCTTCTCTTTTCCAGACTGAACACTCCCAAGTCCCTCAGCCTTTCCTCATAGGACTTGGTCTCCAGGCCCCTGATCGTCCTTGTCACTCTCCTATGCACTCACTGTATTCTGTCCATACAGTACTCCGGGTGCGGCCTGACCAACGTGGTGTACAGCGGGACAATGTCGTCTTGCGATTTGGATGTTATGCCTCTGATGATACATCCCAAGATTGCATTAGACATTTTTGCGGCTGCATCACACTGACTGCTCTTATTTAGCTTGCAGGCCACCCTTACCCTAAGATCTTCTTCACGCACATTGCTACTCAGAAGTGTGTCCCCCATCCAGTGTGCATGTTTCTAATTCTTGTAACTCAGATGTAGAACTCTGTGCTTATGCTTGTTGAATTATGACTTGTTCACATCCGCCCACTTCTCCTGTGTGTTCAGAGTTAATTGAATTCTGTATCTTCTGGGGTGTTTGCTCCTCCCCCCAATTTGGAATCATATGCAAATTTAATGAGTAGTCCCTCCACCCCTCATCCAGATCAGTTATAAAAATTGAAAAATACCAAGCCCAGAACCAAGAGCTGTGGCACCCCACTGGACACCTCCTTCCAGTCAGATGAAATGTCATTGACAACTGTTCTTTGGCTGTGGTTCTCCAACCGGTTCCCTATCCACATAACTGTTCTAGAGTCTGGTCTGCAGTCTTCCACTTTACTTCTCAGAACATCATGAGGGGAACCTTGCCAAAAGTTTTACTGAAATCCAGGTAAACAATGCATTCCCACAATCAGAGATGGAAATGAGGTTGGTCTGGCAGGATCTGTGTGGTTTTCCCTGAATCACAAAGTTGTCCTTCAGATGCTCACAAACTGTGACCCCCTTAAGTGTCTTCTGTGGAACAGAGGTCAGATGGACTAGCCTGTCAAGGTTCTTTTCCACCACTCTTCAGCCAACCTGTGGCTCAAAGTAAGGATCAACCCCACCCCCCGGGTCTCTGGTCCAGTTCCATCCATGAAAGGAGTGAGATTGATTAGAACTTGGGTTAGGAATCTCAAGTTGTAGTCCTGTAGAATATGTAGAACATTCTTCTGTAGAATAAGATATTCGTAGGCCTGTTTCAGATAGGTAGCTGTGTAGTCTGCAGTAGAAGAGCTGGATTTTGAGTCCAGTAGTACTATCAAGATTTCTAAGCTTTCAGGTGTCATAAGCTTTTGAGATCTGATGAAGGGAGGTTTGACTCTCTGAAACTTATATCTTGGAAATTTTGTTGGTTTCTAAGGTGCTACTGGACTTAAATCTAGGTCTCTGAGATCTGACCTCACGGGCCGTATACAGGCAGTACAGAAATTTTACTTTAAAAAAGCAAGTTGATGTATAATAAGCGTCTTTCTCACTATATTGTTTTAAGAACCAAGACCTCTGTGCTTTGTTTGGCTTGCTGACAGCCTCCTTCCAAACTGTGCAGCATGTGTATACAAGGGAGGAGGATTTGGAGGGGCATGCCTTAAGTGACATACACATTGTAGGGATGTGCAAAAAAAAAAAAATTCGGTAAAATTCGGATTCGGGTTTATTGAACCCGACTTTTTTCGGGAAACCCGAAAAAACCCGAATATCTAATTCGGTAAAGCATAGATATCCGAAAATATTCAGGAAACCCGAAAAATTCGGGTCCATTATAACCAATGGGGCCATTGAAGTCAATGGCAAAAAACCTCTT